CCTATTGCTCTGAAAAGTATTCCATGCGAAAGAGCACACTCAAAAACCTATTTTTACTGAGTTTTAAGTTGATTGGATGCATTTAAACCCAAATGTCCGCCTGCCTAGCCAAAATTGCCCACTGTGTTTTGGTGGTATGATCAAAACTTTCCGCGAACATCATAATTTTTTCGCTAATGAATTTTATTTAAAAAGATCAAATTTATATCCCGATCGAGCTATATATTTTTTTACTATATTCGATCTGGATATAGAGCATGAGACTGTACTACAAGAGGTGCCAGCAAGAGCTATTGAGGTGACTGGAAGGAACACTCAATGAATTGCTCTAAATTATGTTTCGAATTGTTCAACGTATGTTGAACAGTGTTAGTGGCTCTTCCCACCACCTCCAGTAGGTGTCAATAGCCCTTGCTGACACCGTCGGTGGTGTCAGCAGCCATTTCGTTTAATTTTTGATAAAAAGGAATCAAATCCATCTCTTAATCAATTAGTATCTAAATTATTATGTGTACCAAATAAAGGCTTTGCACCCTTTTTCCCCAAGTGATTCTCCTGAGGAAACAAAAAATATTTTCAAAAGTTATCGCTAAATTTTCGGAAAAAAGTAAATTAAGTAAGTACTCGCTAAAAACACGCATGTTTCTTCCACTTTTTACATTAATTATAGTAATTAATTATAACATTTTGAAGACATTTTTCACTTGAAATTACCAAAACAATGATAAACTAGTGCAAAAACTCTTTTCGCCTAAAAGCAGTTTACCGATTGATTCAAAAGAGTTAAATTTTTTCAAGGTATATAACATTGTTAGAAAATATAAAATATGACAAAGTATACCCTCTACAGCTGTACTCTTCGAAAGCATGTCCGACTTGTTGCCATCTGAGAAATAACTATAAACTTACTCCATATAAAAAGTGATCTATGCTTGGAAGAATTCAACTCGATTTATCGAACAGTAATTAAATTCATCAAACCATCATAGCACTCTGACACTGGACACCTACGCACTTAAGCATACAAACACAAAATGACTCTCTACTTAGTTCATCATTCTTTTGTTGCACTTTTCTGTTTTTCTCCTTCGTCTATGTAAGATTAATTTCAGATTTCACACAAAGCCTTCCAGTGATTCCAAATTTCGGAATAAGTTAAACAGGTTTTGCTTCTTTTTTAATTTGTGTTCTCCTTTTTGATAAAACCTTAACTAAAACTAAATAAAAATAAGCAAGATAATATGGTACGGAAGCCTTAGATTAATAATTGACTTTAGTGAGAAATCAGAAAAGGAGACCATGTGTACGTTACATGTAGGTGATCTAAAAGAAATGAGATTTCAAAATTTCGTGGAAAGATGTAAAACTAGTGATTTATAGTTTCAATCGAAAAATATAATATAATTAAGATGACTGACATTTACTTTGGCATGTAAGCACTTTAGAAATATTGAACGATAAACTACAAAATAAAAATATGAAATTACAAAATGAGTTTCAAGATTACATTCGGTACATTCTTTTTTTTGTCCTCTATAAAAACATCAAAAAGTGTAATGACATTTTTGGTTTATATTAGTTTCATATTAATCATTGAATGAAGTGGACGCTTGACCTACTATAATGCTAACAATAGCTTTTATTCTGTTTTTGCCAACTCTCATTTATTCAAGCCATTTTAACGGTGGCACGATAACATGGCGACCTGCAAATAAGACAGCAACAGGCAGTCCAGTTGAAATTATTATTACACAAATATATTCTTGGAGTTCTGGTAAAATATATTGCACAGATGCAATGATAGTAAATGAACAAGCAATTGATTGTACAACATATAACAGTGGTTATTTTTCTGGTTTGAAAACACAAACATTAAATTGCATTGGTACATGTTCGTATGTAGCGGGGGGAAACGCTCAAGGATATAATAAAAGCACACTTATTATACCCTATTGTACAGACACTAATCCTATTATGGGTACAAATATTGGTCAACGTTCAGATGAAGAATTATTATATGTTAATGATGATTTTAATGTTGCTTTTCAATCTACATCACCTATGTCTTGGATTGCTTTAGCATTGGGACCGTCGAATCCTGTTTGGTCTATATCATGTAATATTGATTTACATTTGAGACCAGATGGTTATTATAATACTGCACCTGTGGCCACAATGATGTCACCCATAAATATACAAAAGAACGTTCAAGAAACTATTACAATACCAGTGAGTGATGCGAATGACGGTGATATTCTTAAATGTCGATGGGCATCTGGCACAAGTGAATGTGGAGATGCATGTCCACCGAGCTCATTACCAACAGGCACAACATTAACAGACTGTACAATTACAATTACCGGAACGGTGAACAATGGATACTATGCTATAGCAGTAATGGTATGTAGACTTTTCAATCATCGTTCGAACTTTTTTCTCGAAAGACAAATCAATACTATTTTCTTCTGATTTTATTATTAATATTTTCGATTCTAGGTAGAAGATTATTATAATAGTTCCAGCACGTCCCCGATGAGTTCCGTACCTGTTCAGTTTCTTCTCAAAGTTGTAACACCCACAACATGCGCAACTGATCCATACACTTATGGAATTCTTCCTGATTTGTCATGTACGCCAGCACAAGTTTCTGTACCATTTAACACTACAATATACGTCAAGAACAATTGCCCAGGTAACACTAATATTACCGAAATATCGACATTATCAATGCCTGGTGTAAATAAAAGTGACCTTGTACGAGTCAATTCATCACTATATTATCGAACTATTACATGGACGCCGAGGTCGACCGAGCTTGGATCACAAATATTTTGCGCTATGGCTGTTGATAGGTAAAAATACAAAAAAGTAAGAATAACTTTATTAATAAACATGGTGTTATTTTTAAAATTTTAGTGTCAACGACCAGTCTAACCAATATTGCTTTAGTTTTTATGTTACTGAAGATTATCAATGTAACTGTCCGAATAGTGGTACTTGTCCAACGACAACCACTTCAACCACGACATCAACCTCCTCGACAACCTCTACGTGAGCCAGACCGTTTTTCTAGATGAATGCCAGTTTTACAATTTCTTATGTAATAGTTATTTAATAATGATAACTAGAAGTAGCTCAAAATCGAAAGGGATTATCGAACCTTTACTGTCTAGCTGTCAGTCAGGCTTCATGAGCGATATCCCGTTCAGAATATACCCTATATCCCGAACGGGATATCACAGAAAATCTATATTCTGATCAGGATATTTTTGCAAAACATTTTGAAAAAAAACCATTACTACAAAAATCATGACATTATTGCAGAAAAGAGAATATAGCATAAGAAAGGGCATGAAAAACTGAGTCGGAATCAAAGGTGCTCTAGTCTTGGTTTAATAGTCTACCGTTCACGATTTTTCAAATTCCAGTGGGGTCATACACAACAGTCTGATTGGAATATATTTTTATAATATATCCTGTTCGGGCTATGAGACCCGACTGGCTGATATTTGTTGCACCTCTCTAATCTAATACAGATACATATTGATTTATCTTGAACCATCAAATATAAACATATACTTTTTCCGAATCATGTGTAAGAAAAACAGAACGTTTTAAGCTGATTAACTTTCCCTTTCACAATATTGATGATTTGTTTTTGTTTTTAGTTCAGTTACGACGTCAACTACATCTACGGCGACTACTACGTCAGCAACAACATCAACAACCGCAACGTAATCAATAAAATTTTTAAGCAAGAATTTCACCGGAGATAAGATTTTGAAGAAGAATATAAAACATATCCGATAGTAACGGTCATTACTGAAATCGATTTTCTGGCTAGAAGTTAAAAAATTTTAAATCGATTAATAAGTCTGATGGGATACTCATTTTATTTTTGTATTTATTTTTATCGGTTTCGGTTGTCTCTGAGACATTCTAAGTGTTATAGTCTCTCGAACAGCACAACGTAAAAATTATAATTCTTTGAGAAAAAATGTTCAAGAAGTTAATCATCTTCCTCTTCGTCTATGTTATAGCTCAACAACATCGACTACTAGTACCAGCACGTAAGTGGTTCTCATGAAACAAAACTTATTTGTAGGACTCATTTTTCTCAACATCATCTATATGATGTAAAGGATTAGAATGAACGGCATTCTCCCTCTTGAAAGTGTGTTAGTGAGTTTATATAAATGAAAAATGAAGCAAATGTAAAGCGAAGTGGTAGGATTGACAAACACTCTGAAGGTGATTTGTTTTAATTCACTCCTCCTTTATAGTAATTTATTAAAATTCGTGACGTTTCGACCTCGATGAAGTCTTCATCAGACATTCAATATGTTCATACAACAAGAAAATTTTAATGTAAAGATATAACTGAAATGCTGTTACTTTTCTGTTTCTTTTTATTGATGTTACTACTACTTTTCCGTTCCAGTATCACCGCCTGGTTTCCTTGTCACAGTTGGTGTTGCACAGTCAAACAGTTTATCTGTCGCCAATCGGTTGTTTTATCAAAGATGATTCACAAAACGTGTCGGAGTTACCGTTCCTTTTGATTGCAATACAGCCTGCTCCTGTTACAGGTAGATTGCTAAACGGATCCTCTACGTCAGGCTAACTAGGCGCTCATCTTCATTTATTTTCATATTGGATATTTCTTGGATAAATTTCGACGTGTTACATACAGTATTATCGATTGTTTCTCAAAGCTGTTTTATAAAGATAAATGCGAATTGTGACAGAGAAGATGTTATTGTATTTCGGTTGCATGTGACAATTCGAATTCGATGATTCATTTTGTGCAGCTCTAGTTGACTTCTCACGTTAGCCAGATCATCAATTGATAATAGTTTATGTTGCGTCAACGAGGTACCGTTTATCAGTTCGGTTAGTTTCTTTTTAACCACAGAAGTAGGATCTTTTATTTGCTCATAAATATTACCATCATTCAATTTCCCTTCAACTTGCGATACATATTCATCTTTGCCCATAACCACTATCTTTTCTGCTTTATCTGCCTGTACTACTACAATGTCTTATTTCGTTTAATATTATATCTTCATCTTTGCTCATATTATCCTTTTTGACTTCCTGCATTTTTGCATGAACGTATAGTTATTTCGGATATTGCTGCATGTTTCGTGATAATAGGTACCGAGCAGAGACATGTTTCTGAATTTGTTACATATCGACCATATGCAAACGTTTGAATAGTAGTACAAACTTCAATCCTTTTTATGATAGTAACAAATATAGTTTTGATAGGCACGTTTCCGATTGTTTAATAAGTTCGACGTGTTTGCTGTTGATGAGTTTACATGTTTCGATTGTTCTCATCGTTTTTTACCGATAAGTCTATTCAATTTCTTCACAAGCTTTGCTGTGATTCACTTTTTCTTATTTTTATCGTATTTGTTCATCCAATGGAAATCATTGTTCTCCAATCGTTGAGGGTGTTGTTATTGCATATACAATATAAAGATTTCCATTTGAGTAGCTAAATCAATCTCATTAACATGCAGAGTATCATCAATAACAAGAAAGAACAGCAAATAAAAAACATTTTGAGTTATATATGTCTGTGAATATTTCCTTATTGCATGTACCTATTGAATGTCTGATGAAGACGTCATCGAAGTCGAAATGTTACGACTTTTAATAAATTACAATAAAGGACGAGTGAATTAAAACATACCACTTCACCATGACCTTCTCCTCAAAACATGAACACACTGAAGGCCCAGAATAGAAAAGTTGATTATACGGACACAAATATTTTAAGGAACTTAAAGAATTTTATTCTTTACCATCACTTCTATATACATTAGATCAACAACAACAAGTACAACTTCCACAAGCACTTCATCGACAAGTACGAGTACGAGTACCACATCTACAACAGACACTACGTCTTCAACATCCACCTCGACGTGAGTTATTACGAGATTTTGGTTGCCTGAAAAGAGCCTTTGAATCAGCTTCGATCATCTACAGCTTTCACATCTTTGACATAAAACAGAGTAAAACTTGGTTTTGTTTAATAAACTGGTTTATACTCGGTTGGAACACCTAATCGTTTAACTGTGCCAGGCAAAAGTTATCAAATAGTTGTATCTCTATAGGCGTAATATATGCGAAATCTAACTGCACTACGATTAAGCCGATTTTTCTCATTTTTATAGTACAACTACTACAAGCACTTCATCGACAAGTACGAGTACGAGTACCACATCTACAACGAGCACTACTACGTCAACATCCACCTCGACGTGAGTTATTACGAGATTTTGGTTGCCTGAAAAGAGCCTTTGAATCAGCTTCGATCATCTACAGCTTTCACATCTTTGACATAAAACAGAGTAAAACTTGGTTTTGTTTAATAAACTGGTTTATACTCGGTTGGAACACCTAATCATCTAACTGTGCAAAGGAAAATGTTTTAAATGGTTGTATTCCTATAGTACATGAGAAATCCAACTCCACTACGATAAGTCTGATTTTTCTCATTTGTGGTTCTTAAGGGTTTACCCACGCGCTCTTTCTTTTGTCTAGTGGAAAGTTTTCTCCAAAATGCTTGGAAGTAGGGTTTCTTGAAAACCATGATTTTTGACCTATAGATTCCAACTAAAACTACTTTTAAAAAATATTTGCGTCAAAAGCAAATTGAAAAAACATAGACGTTTATCAAAGTTCCAGTACTTTCTGGTTTTTGAGGGGATTTCCCAAAAATCTATTTGAAATTTCACTTTTATTTTTAAATTTTTTCAGTATGTATCTTTATAATTAATTTTTTAGCTATTTTATTGAATAGAATGAATAGAAATGTACTGTGCAAGAAACAGCCATGTTACAAAGATATTCACCTATTATTTTTTAATATTTGGCTGTGAGTGTTTATGTGAAGAATATCAGAATAGAAGAGAAGAGAGAAAATGTCTAGACAGACGTATAGCTATTCTCTCTTTTCTTCTCTTTCTGCACATGCAGATAAAATAACTACAACTACAAAGTTGATTACAAACTTGTATACTGAAAAAATTTAAAAATGAAAGTGAAATTTCACATATGTTTTTCGGAAAACTCCTCAAAAACCAGGAAGTACTAGAACTTTGATAAACGTCTATGTTTTTTTCGGTTTTCAAGTCCCTATCCAATGTTGTTTAAATCAACATTCTATCACCTTCCCGAGCTGAGATATTCTAAATTTAAGAAAAGTTGAAAACTTAAAACTTAAAAGTTATTTTAAAAATTCAAATTTTGAGTTAGAGATTCATTTTTTTTTTCAAAATGTTCGTCTTTCAATGCGGAATACGAATATCACATTTAAAATTTGCTTTTGACGCACAATATTTTTTAAAAGTAGTTTGGCCTAGACCGACTTTCTCATATACCACACCTATTGGTATATAAATAACCTGAATATATTCGTTTCCACATATGCTCGATAATCGATGAACAAATGTCTTCCTCCTTCGGTTGAACGTGACTATTTATGAAATATATGTCAGAAAAGACTGAAAGATGTGAATTTGGTTAGATGCGACCAACACGCAAGAAAAAAATATCATTTAATAATTGACGTCAAACGTATGTAGATGACATTTCATCTTGTGTGCAAAGAGATATCTCTATTTTCGATTTTTGCCTATTGTTGGTTTTCTGCTTTTAGAACTTCAACTACGAGTACCACAAGCACAACAAGCACCACTTCAACGTAAAAATTAAGTTAATTAAATTAATTGACTTTGATCACAATTTTTTATTTTTATTTCAAGAACAACGACATCGACTACTTCAACGACCACGTATGCGAGTTTTCTGAACTCTGTACTATAGTTCTGTAATGCTTTATAAAATAAAGTGCTGTATCTTCTAAAACCTGATCAGTCTACTAAATAGATGCGCGACTCGTCGATAACAACAAATGAGTAATCTTATCTAATTCTTTTGAGAATTTTAGAACTTCCACGACCTCAACAAGCACGTCCTCAACGTCTAGTACAAGGTAGGATATTTTTGAATTATGCTGTGTTAGTATGGCACAAATAACGTTTTTAATGTATTACAGCACTTCAGCAACCACAATACCAGCGGCATGTAATTCACAAATGATTAGTTTTTAAGAAATACATAAAACAGTGATTCAAAGGACTAAAGTTAATACATTAAAATATTCACTGATTTATTTTTTTATTTTAGTCACAATTCAGCCTTATTTGCCATTGATTATTTTGTCTGGATTAGGCGTCTTGGCTTTACTAAGCTGTTGTCTCTATTGTTTGTGTCGTTATTGTTGTTGTCCGTAAGTTCCACCTACTCTTTAACTATTTCTTTTACACGACGCGCAACATTTTTTTCAGTTATGTAGCTGCAAAAAAGAAAAAAGCTAAAGACTTTGATTTCTATTACATCGGTGTAGGAGACGAAACGCTTGTTAAATCAACATCTCTAATAAACTTTGACGAATCGTATACGTCAGTCGATGGTTTATTGACACCGGAAACCGATAAATTCCCAAAACGGTCGGCTATATTCCAAATACCGGACGATAATTATGATGCAATACGACAACAAAGTGCAAGCAGTGGCTATTCATCAATAGATCTGAACGTCAGCCCCGATCTCAATAAATCATCAGCTTTAAACGCCGATGACATAATTGAAACATCGAAAAGTAGTGTAAGTGTGATAAGAGTAAATAGATACAAACGAAATGACAGTACTGAGCCGTTCGGTAATTCTTCAATAAATTCACCAAATACGCCTAAAGTTGACCTTGGGCCTCAAATAGAAAGTGTTACAACAAATCGTCCTGTTACAGTTAGTAAAATTAAACGACAGAAGTCTTCAAGCACATGTAATCGTCTTTCTGATCAAAATATTATTAATATAAACAATGTAAAAAGTAGAAATAGCATTGTTTCGCAGGCAGCCATACATCTAAATCTTTTGACCTCTCCACAACCCAGATCGTCCGATAGCTCTGTCAGTGTATTTAAATTGAAAAAACTTAAAACTAGTCCACTATCGTTATCTAAAAATGATCCAAGGCCTAGTATAATTGAAACTATTCACCTTCCACCGAAACAACAGCTCACATCGACAACACCCGCAAAGAATATGGTCACTGCTGTAAAATTACCAAGGACGGACGCGGCAAAAAGTGAAAAATCAACAACACTACCATCGACAACACCACGTTTGCGGGCAAAATCATTTGAAGGAATTAGCAATAATAATACTGATCTACAACCTAAATCTCCCGATAGCGCTGTCAGTGTATTTAAATTGAAAAAACTTAAAACTAGTCCACCATCATTATCTAAAAATGATCCAACTCCTAGTATAATTGAAACTATAGAGCTTCCACCGAAACAACCGCTCGCATCGACAACACCCACAAAGAATATGATCACTGTTGTAAAACTGCCAAGAGCAGACACGACAAAAAGTGAAAATTTAACAATGCTACCATCGACATCACAACGTTCGCGGGCAAAATCATTTGAAGGGATTAGCTATAATAATACTGATCCACCAAAAACTAATCGTCAAATCACTGCCGTTGGAATAAAGCGTATAGAATATACTGTGCCAAAAGAAGAGCATAAAAGTGCCACTGTTATCAGACTGCCGCGAACTGCTACTGTAATAAACCACAGCACAAGTTCTTCAACGCCAGAAACAGCATCTGGAGTAGAAAATATTAACTGATTTAGTGAGGACCTTGTATAGGTGTCTGAAGTACGTCCTGATAGCATGAAAGAATAATTGTATGATTTAATACGTATGCACCCTGTGTAAATGTTTATAGCGCTAGCTTAATTTAGGAACACGCAATTCAAAGAACGAGCACTATTTCTTTCTCAAACATTTATACATAGTTAGATAGAGCTCACCGAGCTAAACTAGAATATATGGTGTTTTGATCATTGAAAGTGTTTCTGTAGAGAGAAATTTTCGAAAACCTAGAAATTGCCTATGGCGCAAAACCGCTATTTTTGCAATACAATTCATTTTTCGAACTTCAGTCATGTTTCGGAACTTCGGAACTTTTTTCCTCTTATTTACTATGAAAAAATGAATAAGAAAACATGGTTTGGAAGCTGTTCGCATACGACATGGCCTTTAAAATCCGGCGCCTACTTGTAGATCCGAAATCGGCCTGTCCCGAGTGTAGACCTATCTAGGTTTTTCGCTTAATAGATGGAGCCATATTCATACCTCATTAAAACTCTCATACTACTGGGTAGTGTAATACATATCGGTTTTAGAAAATATTATTGTTGAAAAAATTAATCTTTCTAAATAGGTAGCAGAAAACAAGGAAATTCAGTTGTATTTAGGTATGCACCGGTATCGATATACCGAATACCAAAAACCGAAAATACCGATACCGAAAATACCGATACCGAAAATACCGACTTTTTTTGACTTAGAATTTTTTGGATTTTTTTCATTTGAAATGAGGTATTTTAGCATCCTGGACAAGCAGAACGTATAAACAACACTCAGCTGTGTATTTTGAGCATGTGCAGATAGAAAGAAAAGAAAAACTTTGGCTTTAGAAAGCAAACA